GCTTTAGGAAGCTTGACAGAAGAGAATGCATTAACACGTTCAAGCCACCGGTCAAGTCCTAAATTCGACACTAGCCTCACGCAGGGCTACTAGAACATACTGAAGAGTGCAAATTACCGCAAGATGTTCATTTTTGATAAAGAACTTTTCGTCTTCTGTTACGGAAATAATATCTGCAGTAGCCATTACCGAAAGCCATTCTCTGACATATCTAAATATTTATAGTCCATTAAGTAGAGCAAACCAAAATCTCCTGCGAATTTCTCATCATTTGTCTAATAAAATTACTATTGATTGACCAAAGCGCAACCTCTCTTTACATCCGCTTTCGTCCGCTACATCCAAAGCACTAGCTGGCTTTTCCTCGCTCCCTACCTTTGCGAGGGCTTCGAAGAGATGAAGTCGATTACCGAGTGCAATACAAGCAGATATCATTCCATCGATGCCAATTTGCTGGACAATACATAAAGTGAGTAAGAAGCCTTGATTTCAACGCAGGTTCCAATCCCTATATCTCTTCTTTGATGGTGGGATGGTGCCAAGCCTTTTGGGACAATATCCACTCCCTCACACCACAAATATCGGTATTCTCCAATAAAATAATAACAAGAAAGAGCTTATCGGCGAGGAGTTATTCTCCAATAAAATAATAACAAGAAAGAGCTTATCGGCAAAGAGTATGTGAAATATTCGAATTTTTAGAATTTATAGCGATAACCAACAGATTGTCCTAAATCTGTCCAGATACTGATCAAATTAATATTAACTGGAGAAACTTATTAGATTTCATGCAAAATATTAGTAGGTTCACCTTAGCTTTAAGTATATGACCAGCAATTGGTCGAGCTATTGTTTACAGACCTCGGGTGCGCCTCCGGAGGACAAGCTGGCGTGTTTGGAAAAAAAGGAAAAGGGAAATTGTACGAAGTTTGGAAATCCAAGGGATCATGGTTTTTCCTTCTTTTTTGCCTTTCCCAATACTTACTTTATAATCGTCTCCGATAAGTTACCATATAATCAACATGTCCACAAGTTTGCTCCGCTTGAGAGCTATTTGAACACAAATAGCATTTGATCAGT